GGGCGCGGGCGGGCGGGGACTCAGGCGGCCGGAGGGTGCAGAGTACAGGTGGTGCCGAAGATCTTGCACAGGAAATGGTACGCCATGGACAGGGGCTGGGGGCGAAAACCCGAAGGGAGAGTGAATCGGTGTTGCCGTCAACGGCGCGCCAGGAACACCATCCTCGAGTGCTGCGTGGGGAAGGCCGTGACCATGTCAACGTCCGTGAGGTAGAGGAAGACCAGGTAGGCGACACACATACACACACATACACACAACACTCACAATCCTGGGGCCTCCTGGAGCCTCTTCTGGTATCCAAGTCGGGCCTCCTGAGGCTTCCTGGGGGGCCCTGCCTGGTACACACATCGCCAGGTGTGGCAACCCCACTTGCGCTCGAGTGCGACTTCGCTGATGCATTTTACTCCTGCTTCAAACGCCCCTTCAGTTTTTTGTATGAGCCTGGGCACACACGTGCCACTTGTGTGTATATACACATATATATATATATATATATGTATATGTGTGTGTATGTATATATATATATGTGTGTATATATATATATATATATATATATGCGTGCCCCCCCCCCCCCCAGCACCCCCAAACGATGGACTGGGGAGGGGGGGTGCATCCTCCTCATCTTCGTCGTTCTTCTCATCGTCCTCCTCTCCCCATCCTGATCTCCTTATCTTCTTATCTTATCTCCTCCTCCTCCTCCTGCTCCTCACCCTCTGCTTCTCATGGGGCGCGCGCCGCCGCGGTGGCGCGCGCCCCTGTGCCCCAGATGAGCCGCCTCGTCGCTCTCCTCCTCAAACCACAAAATCTTCACTGATCGTTTCTCCTCGTCGCTCTCCTCCTCCTCCTCCTCCTCCTCCCCCTCCTTCTCCTCCCCCTCCTCCTCCTCCTCCTCCTCCTCCTCCTCCTCATCCTCCTCCTCCTTCCCTCTTCCCTGCGTCTCCCAAGCCAAGGAAACCTAACATGCATTGTGTATGGCGCCCTCGGTGCTAGGAAACGCTGTGTTTTTTTTTGGTTTGAGAATCCAGGAAACCGTGTGTATTGTTGTGTTTCTTGTTTTTTTTGGTTTTGGAAGCCCCGACGCTCGCACCAGCCTCCCTCCCAGCACCCTTAGAGCTTGCAAAACCAACAAACAAGAAAAAGATTTCCTTGATTCTCAAACAAAAAAACAGCGGTTCCTTGCACCGAGGGCGCCAAACACTGTGTATGTTTGGTTTTCTTGGTCTGAGGCGCATGGAAGGGTGCTGAGAGGGAGGCCAGCGCGGGCATTCGGGCTTGCAAAACCAAAAAAAAAAACAAAAAAAAAAAAAAAAAAAAAAAAAAAAAAAAAAAAAACAGCGTTTCCTTGCTTCTCAGACCAAACAAACCAAACCAACCAAAAATACACAGCATTTCCTTGCACCGACGGCGCCATACACAATGCATTTTAGGTTTCCTTGGCTTGGGAGACGCAGGGAAGGAGGAGGAGGAGGAGGAGGAGGAGGAGGAGGGAGGAGAAGGAGGGGGAGGAGGAGGAGGAGGAGGAGGAGGAGGAGGAGGAGGAGGAGGAGGAGAGCGACGAGGAGAAACGATCAGTGAAGATTTTGTGGTTTGAGGGGGAGAGCGACGAGGAGAAACGATCAGTGAAGATTTGTTGGTTTTGCAAGCCCCTTTCCTTTCCTCTTCCTTGTTGCAAAACAAGAAAACCAAACATACACAGTGTTTGGCGCCCTCGGTGCTAGGAAACGCTGTGTAGTTTTGTTTTTTTTTGGTTTGAGAATCAAGGAAACCTGGTGTATGGTTGTGTTTTTTGTTTTGTTTGGTTTTGGAAGCCCCGACGCTCGCACCAGCCTCCCTCCCAGCACCCTTAGAGCTTGCAAAACCAAACAAAAAAACAAAAAACAAAACTACACAAGGTTTCCTTGATTCTCAAACCAAAAAAACCAAACAAACCAAACATACACAGCGTTTCCTTCCACCGAGGGCGCCAAACACTGTGTATTGTTGGTGTTCTTGGTCTGAGGCGCATGGAAGGGTGCTGAGAGGGAGGCCAGCGCGGGCATTCGGGCTTGCAAAACCAAAAAAACAAAAACACAGCGTGTCCTTGCTTCTCAGACCAAAAAAAACAAAAACAACCAAACATACACAGCATTTCCTTGCACCGACGGCGCCATACACAATGCATTTTAGGTTTCCTTGGCTTGGGAGACGCAGGGAAGGAGGAGGAGGATGAGGAGGAGGAGGAGGAGGAGGGGGAGGAGAAGGAGGGGGAGGAGGAGGAGGAGGAGGAGGAGGAGGAGGAGGAGGAGGAGGAGGAGGAGAGCGACGAGGAGAAACGATCAGTGAAGATGTTGTGGTTTGAGGAGGAGAGCGACGAGGAGAAACGATCAGTGAAGATTTTGTGGTTTTGGTGGTTTGGGGGTGCTGGGGGGGGCGACCATATATATATATATATCTATATATATGTATGTATGTGTGTGTATGTGAGTGTGTGTGTGTGTGCGTGTGCCACAAGAGGCACCCAAGATCGCCCCCAGACGACCCAAGAGACCCCCAAAGACGGCCCCCAGACAGCCGAAGAAAGCTCCAATACGGCCCAAGGGGACTCCAAGACGAATAATTGTACAACAATGATTCGAAGACAGTTCTCCAGAGCACTGCCAGAGAACTGTTGGAGAACTGTCGGGGAACTCTTTGTTCTCCAGGGGACAATTCTCCATGGAGAACTGTAGGAGAACTGTCGGAGAGCTGTTCGCTTCTGGTCAGCCCAAGCGGCCTCCGAAACGCCCCGAGAGGCCTCCCAGGAGGGCCCCAAGACTTAAACACCATAGTTTTTCCATTGGTTTGTGAAGATTTGTGGGGTTCTCGTGTTTTCGGCGTCCCGACGCTCCAAGACGGCCAACGAAGCACCCAAGATCGCCCCCAGACGACCCATGTCCCCAAGAGGCTGCCAAGACGGCTCCAAAACTGCCAAAGAAGGCTCCAAGACGGCCCAAGGGGCCTCCAGGACGGACATTCCCGAACAGTTCCCCGACAGTTCTCCAGAGAACTGTCGGGGAACTGTTGGGAAACTGTTCTCCAGAGAACAGTTCTCCAGACAACTGTCGAAAAACTGTCGGAGAAGGTTGGGCAACTGTCGGGGAACTGTTGGACAACTGTCCGAAAGATCGCTTTTTAGACGGCACACGATGGCCCCCAGACAGCCCAAGAGGCCTCCAAGACGCCCTAAGAGGACTCCATGAGGTCTCCCAAGAGGGCCCCAAGAAACAAACATAGCTTTTCCATCCGGTATTTGAAGGTTGTGGGGTTCTCGCGATTTTGGCTTCCCGACGCTCCAAGACGGCCCACGAGGCACCCAAGATCGCCCCCAGACAATCCGAGTGGCTGTCAGGACGACCTCAAGACGGCCAAGACGGCCCAAGGGGCCTCCAAGACGGACACTTCTCCAACAATTGTTCCCCGACAATTCTCCAGACAACTGTTGGAGAACTGCCCGAAAACTGTCGGAGAACTGTCGGGGAACTGTTCTCCAAAGAACAGTTCTCCAGACAACTGTCGGAGAATTGTTGGAGAGCCGTCGGGGAACTGTTGGAGAACTGTCCGAAATATAGCTTCTAGACAACAAACGATGGCCCCCAGACAGCCCAAGAGGCCTGCAAGACGCCCTAAGAGGCCTCCAAGAGGTCCCCCAAGAGGGCCCAACTAATCAAACAGCGTAGCTTTCCCATACGTGTTTGAAGGTTCTTGGGGTTCTCGCGTTTTCGGCTTCCCGACGCTCCGAAACGGTCCAAGAGGCATTCAAGATCGCTCTCAGACAACAGACAGCCCACGAGGCTGTCAAGATGGCTCCGAAACGGGCAAAGAAGGCCCCAAGACGGCCCAGGGGGCCTCCAAGACGGACACTTCTCCAACAATAATTCCCCGACAATTCTCCAGAGAACTGTCGGGGAACCTGGCCGAGAACTGGTCTCCGGACATGCAGCCAGTCGGAGAAATATTGGAGGACTGTCAGAAATATCGCTTCGGGACGGCCCCAGATGGCCAAGGCGCGCTCCATCCTGCCGCTCTTATAATGCATACGCGTGGATTGGTACATGGTGCGCTTCATGATGGACGATCGGTGGTTGGAACGGCAAGTGCTACATGCTCGATGCTCGTCGTGAATGCTACATGCTCGATGTTCGCCGTGAATGCGTAATGCTTGGACCCTAAGACTCTTTGGCCGTTCCTACAAGACCCTCCTGAAGGGAAACAGACCCCTTTATCGGTCTTTACGTGTTACTGTTTGGCGGGTGCGCTGTTTCAGGCCATGAGAAAGGTGCCACATATGATGGCCTTCTAGAACCTGCGGAAGAGAATGTCGCATGTTCTGGTCCTCTGGATCCTAAGGAAGAGGGTGATCGCGCGCCAAGGCCCGTTGGCCCAGTCTCGGACGGTCATCACAACGAGGACTTCCCTGATACACGTGCGCTGCACTCTCTTGTAACCAACGAACTCCTAGATCAATGGAATTGCACAGCTGAAATTATCTGGATCTTGCTGATGCCGTTCCCCATTCACCTCGTCGTCATCGCCGTTATACTCCTCCCGGCCTCCCCAGCATGTCGATCAGGTTGGGCAAACTCTTCCATTCGAGCTAGGAGGAATGAAAAGCAGCGGGCCTGGAGTTTCAAAAACACATCACCCGCGCAAAAATCCCACGATCAACGCAAATGCAAACAACTGAGAACTTCGATGCGATTCAGTGTGGATGCGCGCAGATGCGGACTCGGTGAATAGCGCAAGCTGCGGACGGAGAAGGAAAGCGAAGTACAGCCTGTGCAGGACTGCCATCGTACCCCGATGCACGAAGCAGTGCGACTCCCAATTTTCTTTTCCCCCCCACCATCCTGCAACCCTCTCCTCGACCACCACATCCCCGTCATCCTGCTAACGAGCAATCGTACATCGTCATCAACCGAAACACGCAACACTTCGCGCTGGCTGCGAGATCTAATGCACGCGGGCGACAGCGAGAATTTGTCCTCCACGCGCTGCAGCAACCACTTCACCCGCGGCAGCGACCTGATCCAAGCCTCGGGGCAAGTAGTGGAGGTTAAGACGGTGAGTGAACATGAAAGTCCGCGGGCGCGGAAACTACTGGGAACACTCGGGCAAACCTGAGGCGAAACCGTGCAACTTGCGCCCAAGTGAAAACAAAACATCGGCGGAACAACTAAGCCAACCGCGGGGAGAAAAATGGAGGGCCGGGTGGGTAGAACGCCACACGCGAACAATTTTCCATGCTTGGCCTAGTGGCGGCACTTTGAGAATGCAGAAGCGGGCCACGCTCTAGCATGGTACATTCCACCGGGCTCTGCACGTAACGGTCTGCGCTTGGCGAGCGCGCGCACATTTTACGTCGCAGCGCGGTAGAGGCAGTCCGCGCGCGCTCGGGCAAGCTGGGTGCGACGGCGCTGCGAATTGGCGGCAGCAAGAATGGAGAAAGGAGGAGAAACTGCCGCGGGAAAGGGGGGAAAGGCTAAAACGCTTACGCAGGGCCCGCTGCGGAAAGGCCGGGGCAAGCGGCCGGCGCTGCGCCCCGGACAGCGGGCGCGGGGCGGCGTCGCGGCCGCGCCCTAGGGGCTGGGGCAGCGGCTGCAGCACGCGAAGACGAAACACAAGCTGGAGGAGCCCGCGCGGCGCCGATGACCACCTGCGGCGGTGCTGCACGCGGCGTCCCACGTGGCAAAATACTGCGGACAGAACTGGGCGGGCTGCACTGCGCGGGCTCCGCTGCGAGCGGTGGCCCGCAAGGCTGGAAAAGAAGAGAATCCCGCCAAACTAGCCAAAACAGAGCGGCGCCGCTGGCGGCGGGACGCGCGCGCGCGCCCGCCCATCAAGCCACGACGGCGAAACTGAAGGGGTGGGTCGGCCGCGGGCGGCGGGAGGGCGCCCGCAATGACCGGGCGGCCGCGCGGGGGGGGCGGCGGCAAGGTGCCCGCGCCGCCGCCCGGGAGGGGGGGCAGGAGGGTTGCGAACTCGAGCCTCGGCCAACGCGCGCATTGCAGCCAGGGGCGGGCGGCGCCCCGCGCCAGCGGGGGCGGGGCGAAGGCCTCCGCGGCAAGCTGCGTCGAGACAAAAAGGGCGGCAGGCGCAGGAGCGCGGGCACCCAAGGCAGAATGGCAGCTGGGAGCCTCCCAGCACGCATCAGGGACCTATGGCTGACGGGGCCCTGAGCATCCACATATCATGTTTTTTACTACTAGTATGTTTCTCGCTATGATATCACAAAAAAAAAAACGCTACGATGTCACAAAAAATGATAGTAGCACAATGTGCGTTATTGATATCGTTTATAATGCTACAGCTTCGTCTTGCGATGCCGACGGTACGTCGTATCATAATAAATGTTATGATCACGTGGTGGCGTAAAACCACCTTATCCACATGTGCACATACATAATGGAAACGCGGCATTCTGTGCGTATACATGTATGTATATATACACACACGCCATAAGTGTGATATGGAAGTCTGCGAAAGCGCGCGTTCTTGTGACTAGGGCGATGGAGCACTGCGTAACGAACGCCATGCCATGTACTACGCGATGAGCAGGAACCGCACCAAAGGCATTTCGGCGGCCTCGCGCGAATGCGCAGGCGCGTGCGCCCCCCCCCCATTCCCCCCTCCCCCAGTGACCAGGGCGACGAAGCACTGCGTAACGAACGCCATGCCATGTACCCCACGACGAGCAGGAACCACGCACTTCGGCGGTCTCGAATGGCACGCGTGTGCGCGCGCACGTGGGTATGCACCGTGACTATATATATATATATATATATGTATATGTAAATGTATATATATTATATATATATATATATATATATATATATATATATATATATATATGCGCATGTATGTGAAATTGCGAGCGCATGCGCACATGTACTCGCGCCTGCGCGCGCGCTTTTCCAAGCATGAGCGGACGGTCAGGGTGGCGAAGCACTGCGTAACGAACTCCATGCACCCCGCGACGATCGGGAACTGCGCCAAGCGCACCTCGGCGGAGGGGGGCGGGGGAGGAGCAGGGAGGAGATGATACCACGGTATGAAAACGATCAACGAACATAACATAACATTGACAATCAAACAACAACAACACACACAACAACAAATGATCCGCATGCATCGCATGCCAACAACAAAAACAAATCATCAACAACATCAAGAACAACAACTAGAACGACACCATCACCAAAACAACATTCCAAATGCATGGAACCGCGCGGCGCGCAAGTCCGCGCGCGCATGCGCAGTAGGAACGTCGCTCGCGCGCATACTTGAAACGCGAATGCTCACATGCACGTCTCCAGGAATACTTTGGGGATGCGGTCGTCGCCGACAGGCGTCTTCAGGAATATTTTGGGGGTGCGGTCATCGCCGACAAGCGCCTTCAGGAATATTAGGCTGCCCTTGTGTTTTTTTTTCCCGAGGGGGAGGGGTCCTGAGCCCGTCAGCTTGAACGGAGCCGCAATTGATGCGCAAGCAAGATATTCCCCAACACCTTAGTGCCGACCAATGCCAAGGGGGCGCCTGCCATGCACCCGCGCGCACTTCGGATCACCACGCCGACGAAATCTTCAAATTCGAAGCACCATATCGTTTTGGGGTTGAGGAACCGAGCGTTGTAGCAAATATGCCAAAGCATATGCGTCTTCACAGCTATATTACAATTCAAAACAAGTTTTGTAGCAGAGCACTGAACAAGCCAGTTGTAGCGCACCAAGAAATCATCACAACTGCCAAGCATTATATCAGCGTCCGCTTCGGGGATCATGAAACCATTCGCAGAACAAGTCTTGAACATATCGCACAATGACTCGAAACACCTGAGGCGGTGCCGATCCCTATCGCTACCGTCGGAACAATCAACACAAATCTCATGTAAAATGTACAGGAGCTGCAGTGTTTCACCTGCCTTGCCTGTGCAGCAAGGATAAGTATGTTGGCCATGGTAAAACATCGATAGTTTGAGCAGGGTGAGCCGATTAGTTGCACCCTGTGCTGTGTATTCAATTGTTATCTCTTCCCACAGTCGATTAACCCTCTCTGTTTCAGTACCTTCCCATACGCCTTCAAAGACTAACTCATGCATCACTGCGCCTAGGAACCAAGATGGCACGCCAAGGGGGCCAGTATGCATCAAATCACACATGCTCAAGAAACGACTGAAGTTGTTCAGTTTTGAAATGGGGTGATCGGCAAGCTGGTTCGCGTGATTGTAGGCTGGGCTCTTAAGAATTGCTTTCCATGACGCATTTCTGGACAGGTCTGTTAGCGAGTCAGGTTTATGATCATCTCTGCTAGCACTGCACATCCAACATGGGTTATTCGAGTTAAAGTGAGGGTAACGCAACTCGTTTGAGTAAAACTCAAGATCGCCTGTAATCGACGATATGACAATGCGAATTCGGTCTCCGCAAATGCGCTTTCCTGCGAGCTCAGCCTGCAGGCTATCCTTATCCCAAGGCGTGCCATCATGGTTGGTTGTTGGGTGCTTTCCATCATAACAAGCATTCAACTGATGCACCAAAACTGCCCACATTTCATCTGACGTGTCCCCGTCCCCATAACTACGAATGTGTTTTGGCAACGCAAACATCGGCATTATGCTATCTTCAAATGAATCTGAAAGTATACTCTCCACAGATCCTGTCGTAATCGGGGCCTGTGTGTTCCTAGGATATACACCTCCGTCTCCGTGCAAGATGAAGGGGTAAGTTGTTCGTTTCCAACTGTCGGTCGTAGCACTGTCCCCAAGCGCCAACAATTTTGAATCGTCTGCACGAATGGCGTTCCGAAGCAAAGATGGGTTAACACCCAGAAATGCATCCAACTCATTTGGATGATGATTCCACATTGCTTCAATCATTGCTGGCAATGATATGATAGACGCTTGAACTGACACGCTGTTGTGCAATCTGTCAACCGCTGGTACCTCAACTTTCACAGGCCTCGGTAAAGCTGACGTCTTGCAAATCTGTCGAAGCAAATCTCGTCGCATGTTCCCTGGGTACAAGCCTCCAGAACCGAGTTCTGATATCTGTGTCAACTGCTGGCCCGTTGCGCCAGCTTTTGATTGCGCATTTTGCAAGCCAGCTTATATTTGGAAGAGACAATGTACCCCAGCCGAACAAGTAAAGCAACGCGTCTACCAAGTCGCACTGGTTGCCAAAATCTTGGCAACTCATTTCTGCATCAAATTCTGCACTCTGTTTCCTGCCTCCCATGGAAGAAAGCTTCGCAGCCACAGTAGCATCGTCCATCAATCAAGCGGACAGAGAAAGAACAACACGCCAATGGAACGTTTGTTAAATTCGGCAAACGAAACATGCAATCAAGCCAGACTGGCTAACACGGATGATGGCGATGATGAGTTAGACGGCATGTTGAACCATAGTGTTGTATGATGACAGCTATGGAAAGTGAGACGCAATAGACCGACCCCTTTTGACTGAAAAGGGTCGGTTTCTGCCAGCAAGTTCAAACAGGCAAATGCTCACACACATTAATCTCCATTCTCAAGCTCATTCATTCTTGATGATGATGTATGATGTTGGTTGCTGGCATTGGTGTATGATGTACGGTGATGTTGGTGTTGGCATTGATGTATGATGTATGATGATGATGTTGTTGATGATGATATATGATGAGGACCTTGGGGCCCTCGAGTACCCTCTTGGGGCCCTCCCCTATCGGTGGAGTGCGTTTCGGGGGTGGCAGGCGTGCGAGCATAATCGCGCAACCAGATGCAGCGGACCTGATAGCTGCACCGCCGGCGCGGCCGAGAGATAAACTCACGAGTATACTTCCTGTCGAACGACCATGATCTACTTACCGCAGAAAGCCTTTGACTGCGAGATCTCCTTGGGAACTTTCTGCTCGAAAGACTCGAGCTTCCTGATGTCGGCCTTGGCAGACTTGGTGTCGCAGTTCTTCCCCCACACGTTGTGCAATGCCAACTTTTTCTTGAGCTCCTCTCCCTCCTTGAACCGATCCTTTATGACCGCGTGGATGGGCTTGCTCGTCTTCG